GTCCTCCAGTAAGACAGCCCTCTTGTGGGCTCTCAAAGCATGTGGACCATTCTTGCTAATAGTGAAGAGATCCTCCCGCCTCAGCCTTCTCCCAGATTCTCCCTTGGGTGGCATCGCCCACCTGGTTCTCACTCTGACAGGTATAGGTGCAGTCGATGTGGTGATGCCCTGCATTGATGGCCGCCTTCAGTTTCTCTGGCTTTCCAGGTGCCCAGGCCCACAAGGTGCAGGTGCCACAAACCCATAGGTGAGGCCAAGGCCATTGCCGAGAGACCAAGCACAATGCAGGGTGGCTGTTCTCTCTATATATATATTTACTTATTTTGGTACCGGAAATCGAACTCAGGACCTTGCACTTGGGAGGCAGGCGGCAGAATTTAGCACTGAGCTAAATCTCTGGCATCTCTCTATTTATTTTGAGACAGGGTCTTGCTTTGTAGCCCAGGCTAGCCTTGAACACCTGGAGATCCCCCTGCTTCAGCCTCCCTAGTGCTGGGATTACAGGTGTGCCTGTCACGCCGGGTTTCAGGCCTCTCCTGAGCTGTCCTGGGCACACAGCCAGTCACAGAAGAAGGCAGTGCAGGCTGTGCAGCTCCTAAATCGGCAGCCTTGGGGTTCAGCCCCAGGACAGCCCCCTCTGGAAGCCACACTCTGACAGGTATAGGCGCAGTCGATGTGGTCTCGGCCTCCTGGTCTTCCTGTCCCTTCCGAAACCCATCTGTCAGGAGCAGGAACTCTTCTCATCCCAGACACGGCTCTTTGTCATTCTAGAGGGTGCCAGCCTTTCTGCCCTGGCTGGAAGTCACCACTTGTCCCCACACTGACCCCACCTCACCCCGAGAGGCCTTGCTGTGGCCTCCACAGAGGGCTTTTCACGTGCACTGGAAAAACTCTGTTCAGGTGAAAATGCACAGGAGGTCTGATTCTGACCAAACATTTCTGTATTAAATGTGAACCGTGGGGCTACACTGGCCCTGTGGGAAAACAGGAACAGTACCGAATACATGTTGTGAATTCACAGCAAGCAAACCAAACAACTCAAAAATGGGCCGGGCCTTGTGGTACTCCTATAATCCCAGCACTAGGAGGCTGAGGCAGGAGGACTGCAAATTCAGCCCAGATTGAGCTACACAATAAGATCCTATCTTGGATAAACAAACAAAAATCTGGGTGTGGTGGTGCACACCTGCTATCCCAGTTGGGGAGGCTGAGGCAGGAGGACTGCTGTGAGTTCAAGGCCAGCCTGGATACATAGACTGTCTTAAAAATTAAAAAAAAATTAAAAAAAAAAAGCAAATTTTCAAACAGCCCAAGCATCTGCCCTTTACAAAGTACAGATACGCAAAATGATCACCAGAAGTGGGGACAAGCAAAGCTCTGTGAATGCAGAGTGTTGGACTTGCAGACTTCTGACAAGATGAGAAGGTGATCTCAGAGCTCAAAGCTCTAGGACTTGCACTTCGCCCAGCAGGGCCGACCCCCTGAGCCGCTCTGAGGGTCCGTGTGCACTCCTAACAGTCACACTGCTGTGCAGGCTGAGGCCAGAGAGCAGGCCACCCTCTGCTCACCAGCTGTGGCCTTGCACCCGGCAGCTTGACCTAATACATGTGAGCGCCAGGCATGTTGACCCAGGCATGTAAGACTGGCACTCAGGAGGCTGAGGCAGGAAGGTCACTGTAAGTTCAAGGCCACATAGTGAGACCACAAAACAAAACACTCACAAAGACATCTGCACACGGGCTGGGGTCGATCGAACACTTGCCTAGCACAGGTTAGTACTGGGTCTGACCCTCAGCACTGAAAAAAAAAAATCTGCACCGAAAAGCAATCCTATCAAAAGCCAGAGGGGCAGCAGGAGAGGACGCTGGCATTTCGGTTCCATTCCGCCGAGGCTGAGCTCCCTGCAAGGCACCTGAACAGAAGGAGCGGTGGAGCGGCCGGCAGGTAAACAGGCCAGAAGGTGTGGTGTGTACAAGATTGTCTCCAACCCTGAAGCGTCACTGCAGCCCGCATGGCCACTCGAAGCGCCCCTGGGGGACACGTCTGTCAGGGCTGGGGTGGCCGTCCGGAGGCGAGTTAGCTCTCTGCCAGCCTGGCATCCCCAGGCCAGGACACAGGGCCTAAAGCACCACAGCACAGCAGATTCCTGCGTGGGCTCTGGGGTGCATGTGTTCATGTTCTAAACCACGCTTCGCCATGAAAGGAGGGTTACTGGTGGAGCACTGAGGGTCAGCACCTCAGAAGGGGTCATCCGAAGTGACCGTATGCTCACCCACCACTCTCCTGCTTTTGTTTAACTCTAGGGGCTCATGGGCCACCCACCGTGTGGACTGAGTTACTTACCTGGTGGTCAGTGCCATTAACTGTGGAGGGCGCTCACCCGCTGAGAGGCACAATCCCATTCAATGAAAAGACCCCGTGCTCTCTGGTCTGTTTTCCAGCCTCCTCTATGACAAGGAATTTCCCATAGAGCCCAGACCTAGATTTTTCTCTGGATATTTTATATACAAGTTGAGATTTGAGATTCCAAAATTTCCCGGACAAAGTGGATGGTGTAGGTTGTCTCTTGTCTCAGTCCGTTTTACGCTACTATAACAGAACACCAGAGTGGGTTACTTTATGGTGAAGAGAGACATATCTGGCTCGCAGCTCTGCTGGCCCCAGACTCGGTGCTGGTGTCTTGCTGGGCTTCTGATGAGGACTCACAATGGCTCAGCTCAGGGAGAAAGGACCGGTAGGTTTGTCCTGAGGGTTGGGTGTCCCCGATGCAGAGGGAGGCACCAGGCACACTTCTCGAAAACCCACTCCTCCTGCATCAAACAACAGCACGAAGGTGTCTGAGACCTGCAAAAACACACGGATTGTGATGAACTCGAGCAGTTGGCTCTGTCATTAACACAGCAGTTCCTCTGGACCCGCCCATCTGATAGGCAGCAAAGTGAGAGAAGTTATATGTAAATAGATCTCAAGTCACCTGCATAACTGAATGTAATTTTTAAAAATACTTCTATGTGCTTTGAAAAACAAAAAGCAAAGCAAAACAAATAAACAAAATCCATTCTCACAGTAACCGACACACATGCGGTACCACGTGGGGTGCACCGAGGGCAGCCCTCCCGTGAGCTTGGCCGGAGCCGAGCACGTTGAAGGCACATCATTGCAGGTGCTGGTCTTGGCACACTTACAGGCCACGCGAGTGCGTGCACGCACACATGCAAGTGTGCACGCACATCCACAGTCCTTGCCAGACCAAGTCCCTGCCTAGGGCTGGGAAGCATGGCGGTCT